ACTCACACACTGAAGGGTATCAAATCAAAATGGGCTATTTTGGTGTGGTAAGTCATAGTGGGTGATTGCTGAGTGAACCTTTCCACATTGAAAGCAAAATGGTCACAAATAGATGAAAGGGAACTGGTTAATTACTGAGGTTACAGAACTGGCTTTATAGTTGGAATGTCCTCAGCATCTGTGCAAACTTGGGCTGTCAGACTTGGGTGGAAAACTCCATTTTTGTGGAAAACTCCATTTTTATGGAACTGGCACTTGCCAGGGGGAAATTCCTTTCCTTCTGAAGCACATGGCCAGAATACAGCAATATGTGGAGAACTGCCATGATCAGTGCAGCTTGCAAAAAGAAAATGGAGTGAAGACAACCCAGCTGAGAATTATTTTTTTTTCTCCTAGCCTGGACTCAAAGATTTGTCTTGATGTTATTTTTTTCTCCTCAAGCACACTGGAACAACAAAGCTTGCTGCTATCTTAATACACGTTTTTCACTTGTCTGGGCTCCACATGTTCTGCTGGATAAAATGCATTAGAGAGATGAAAGAACAAAAAGTTTTAAAGCTTTTAATATAAAGACCTGACTTGAATGTCATCCAGAATCTGTTTCACCAACACACATAATTGGTACAGTAATGCATTTTAAAGGTAGCATCCATTGATTTTCAGAAAAGGACTTTTTGAATCATTATATGCAAACATAATTGAGACTCAGGTAACTGGAAGTTATTTCTGATGTACCCATTACCTTTTCAGAGTCCAAGCAAATCAACATTAGTCTTACTTTGTTAGATCTCATCTGCTGAAAGGGGTGGGAGGAACTGGCCTAGCAGATGAGATACTGGGCTGAGATTAATTCCTGCCTGAAAAGGAGTAGGTCACATAAACATGCTCTGCAACTGCTGGTTTGCTAAGCTATGATAAAGTGCTATTACACCTACCCCAAAGATAATGACCAAAAGTTACATAAATACAGGCTGACGTGTTGTGATGGTAAGCAGTGAGTCCCTCTGAATAACTGCTGTGCTGCTGGGCAGACTCTGCTGGGCTCAGCCTCTAAATGAGCTGATTTGGAGGTTTGGGGAGACTCCTATGCTGTTGATCTAGCTGCACTTCAGAGCAGTTGCTTCTACACTGCCCTTCCCTCCAAGCATTTCATACAAAAGCCAAGCTTGTCTCTGTGTGTAGTGCCCAGAGCACAGCCTTCTGCAGAGGCAAAGAGCACTCAGCAGCAGTACAGACAACTGAAATGAGTTCAACACAACATGGAAAGAAGATGGTATTTCCAAATGGGAACCATCCCCCAGATCTGATGTGCTTACACTTAGATGACTGTTCTAATGATAAAAGTTATAGAGCACTCTGCTCTTACCAAATGAACTACTGATTCAGTAGTAATCTGAGAGGGTGCATCATCTTCTGTACCATCTCCTCCTCCTGTGCTAGGGAGGGTTACACAGAAATACAGTAACTTTGTTTAGTTATAAGATTTCCTAACTGATCATCTGGTTTTACCTTTTTCTAAAGTAGCTTAACATAGAAGTTATTCCCCAGAGAATTTTAGATGCTTAATAAACACATCTGTATTTAAATGAAGAACTTAATTTCTACCTGATAAAGTATTCAGATAATGTGTATCAGCTTATAAAGAGATGACTCTCTCTTCCAGGAACAGTGTGTTCCCTTCCACTGGCTGCTGAAGAAATAATACTCTTAAGAAATTGTATTCCAGCTACATTAAGTTGGTTTAAAAAACACATTCATACATATACTTTCTTAACATCATGTGCCCATGGTGGTTTAATAATATAATTTCATATTTCACAGTACTTCTGCAGTTTTTCCTTCCAAGGAAATAAGTCCATTTTGTAGAGATTGCCCATTAATGATATCCTGGAAGTGGCAACTTCAGTCCTTCCTTTGCTTCAAAGAAGGTGTAAGAGAGGGTGATCAAATCAACTTTAGCCATTTTAGGGTCCTCTGCAAACTCTGGATCGATGTAGAAAAAGACAGGCATGTCCACTTCCTCCTGAGGGTTTAGCCTCTGTTCTTCAAAACAAAAACACTGCAGGGGAAAGGGAAAAACCAAACATAATTAGACAGTGACAGCAAGGCCAACAAGATAGAAAGCTTCATCTTTCAACTCTCATTTCCCTGTACGTGGCTAAAGGCTTGGCTTTGCTCATACTTACTTGTATTTTATTGAAATACTGTCCTGCTTCAAAGGGGATTACATTATAGGTGGAGATCCCAATTATTGGTTTGTCAGTAGGATTTTTGGCTTTATAAAATGCCAGTGCAGTCTCTCCTGGTACCACCTGTGGGACACAATTGTACAGTGATTTATTCTAATCCACTGCAGCCCTCCCCTCCTCAAACCAAGTTCTTTAGGCTTTACCAAGAATTAGTTCACTTTCTCTTTGCTGTTTCAGATTTCACAGATATTTTGCTTATATGCAATTCACCCCCACTCAGAATTAAAAGCTTCAGTAGTTATATGTGTGTATTTTCAGTCTTAACCAGTTTGATTCTATTATTCTCAGCAGTTAAGCAGCACACAAAGCTTTTGCAATACACAAATTTATATATGGTGTGCATTTAGTTTTTGAGGTTATTCTTTCAGTACTGGACTCAGAAACAAGAAGAATTTTTGGGGAACTGATTTTAAATATTAAAGCTGGATTAAAATGTGCTTGTTTTTTTAAATATAAAAACAATCCTGCAAGGATAGAGGAGAAAGAAACAACAGAAGTTCAGATCATAGAATCATAGAATCAGC